GACTCGCAGTGTCCACATAACCTTTTTTTAATTATATTTGCATAATTAATTTCGGTTAGTCTGTTTTGTGCGGAGTCGTGTTTTATTTTAACATTTTTTTCCGGTCGGCAGACTCATAGGGACTATAAAGCATCAAGCTGATATACGTACTCTAATACGGTTTTTACTGGTGGTAGGACCTCTTGTGAATCCGCGCGGGTAGGTACCCTGCTTATTTCTGCCGTGAAGCAGTAATGCGTTTCGGTTTGAAGCGCGGGGCAGCAGTTGTAACTAAACTGAGACCTTAGAACTTATATCTCAAGGTCGGTGGTTTTTTTTATTTCGTAGATGTCTATGGGCTCCAGTAACCACTTAACACCAGGTGGGTTGTAAGCTCGTCCACCCATCTAAGCAAAAAAAAAGGCTTCGATTTTTTCGATCGCAAGTGTTATTTTTAAAGAGTGTTAAATAAATGTAAAAAACAGTTTTACATAAAATTGTTTTATTTATTCTCCATTAATCGTTCTATCGCACACCGCACACTTGGTCCTACCAAAATTTCCGATACATACTCTCGAATCATTTAAATAATAGGTATTATTTATCTATTTTTATATACATTATGTACAATGATTACATTTTATATATACCGAAAAAAATCTACTAGAGTAACCCTCTGACGCAGTCGGGTGAAAGCTATAAAATAAATAATTAAGCCTGCTTTATTGTATTAAATTATTTTTGACTCATAAAAAATTCAGAATTTCTTTTTTGCTGTTGTCGGGCGGTAGACTCATAGAAACACACGTTAAGGTCATCAGTGACCAGGTCATTAATGACCCCAACGTGCACGAGACCTAAGTCTAACCCGTTTGCGGCAGAAATATGCAGAATGTAATATCCAGTAATACTTTAAAGATCGTAATGTAACATGTTTTTAATCTAGTCAATTAATATAATTGGAGGGTTTTACATTTTATACTTTAGTAGCGACCCGCCCTCGCTTCGCTTCGGAAACTGTAATTTATTATTGATTTCTCCACTATTTAATGGATGTTATTATACATATAAACCTTCCTCTTTAATCACTCTATCTATTAAAAAAAACCGCATCAAAATCCGTTGCGTAGTTTTAAAGATTTAGGCATACATAGGGACAGACAGACAGATATAGGGACAGAGAAAGCGACTTTGTTTTATACTATGTAGTGAAGAATGCTTAGTTTCTCTTGAGTTGCCCGACGGGTAAATGGTTTATACATGACTTCCATTAGTATGCCTGAGCTTCAAACCTGAACTCATTTCTGCGTCTAGCATTGTACAATTAAGAAAATTTGCATAAGTCTGGCGTTAAAACTTATTGGATGTGAAAAGACATCATTAAAAAAAAAACAGTTCACGAAAACAAAGAAGTTGAAGGTAACTATTAAAAAATAAATAATATTTAAATACGCTTTTATAGAAAATCCAACTAAAAAATAGAAAATAAATTTTAATAATTTTGAATTAAAAATAGTGTAAAAAAAATGATTTTATTGTAAAAAAAAGGGTGGGGTGCATGGTATAGGTAGTTATAAATATTTTAAGAACCGATATGAGTAGAAGGGTTATTTTGGTAATATCCTGAAAAGCACCCCACACTTTTTTACAACAATATCATTTTTTCTATTTTTTAGTTGGATTTTCTATAAAAGCGTATTTTGTTAGTGTTTTTAAACTATTATTTATTTCTCTTTTTTTTTTTAAATTGATTTGTCATCGGTCCTGAATACGTATACCAAATTTCGAGTTAATCCGACGTTTTGAAGGGGGTCAAAATGATGTTTAAAGTTCAAAGTTTCCGTTACAAACATACATACGTCTGAAGTTAATAAAATCGTATTAAAAAAAAAACAACAACAAAAAAAAAAGTTTCTGTGCTGCACGCAATGTACTTAATAAATGACCTTTGGGGTCATCGTTTTCTTCGTCTTCCAATCCTCTTCGCTTTAGATGTGAAAAACGAAGCTGGTTAAAGCATGCGACATGTGTTGTGATTGTTTTTGATATGGTAGATCTTTAATCATTTACATAAGGAAAACCTTTAAATATACTATTAAAAAGTTATGCATCTATACATTTTTTAAGCACCAATAGAGAATACTATTTAGAATATAGATTGTATTTTATAAAACTGAAGTTTTAAATCGCTTTCCGTCCTGCTCGCGAGGGTACTGTGTGAGCAGGATGGCAGAGTTTTTTTTTTATCTAGTATATTTATAGAGTATTTGACATATTTTGATACAGGGTGTAAGAAAACCGCACCAGTGACTTTGATTATTCTGTTGTAAATGATTAAATACTACATTTTTGGCTAGTGAGCAACTACATCAACAAAAAATCGAAACATGTCGTGTGAAATTGACTGCGAGATATTATTGATTTGCGAAACTTCTTGAAATCAAACGGAAATTGTTTAGTTTTTAGTTAATATTTAACTAGCTCGACTTCTGAGAGGTTTCCTACACCCTGCATTACTTAAACACTTTATTTAATTAAACTACCTATTTATAATTATATTCAATAATCATGTTCAAGCGCAAATTACCTTATTCTTAATTTCATACAATCATTATTATAACTATAACGTCTTAAGCGGAGTAAAGTTTATCCGGAACAAAATGCTACAATAACAGGAAAACTGAGATACAACAAATTGTCTAATTATTTACCAACTTTAAAACCTAACTCAACGAAGAACAAAGGGCTAATCAATCAAGGCGTACCTTAAGCTGCTATTTTTTTTTTGCGCCACCCTCCTTGAGATATAAGTTCTAAGGTCTCAGCATAGTTACAACGGCTACCCCACCCTTCAAACCGAAACGCATTACTGCTTCACGGCAGAAATAGGCGGGGTGGTGGTACCTACCCGTGCGGACTCACAAGAGGTCCTACCACCAGTAAATGTTAGTATATTATTAGTATTATAATAAATTAGTTTAAAATAATTAGAGCACGAATGACTGAAGCTACTTTTAAGATTTTAATTCGCGTTTTTTATTGTCATTACAATATTTCCGACATTTCTGATTTATTTTACGGTTTTTATGATCATGACAGTAGGTTTAATTATGTCTAAGGCTCACAAAAATCGAATACAATATCGAAGGGTGAAAGACCTTTGTTTTTTTTTTATTGCCCTTGTAGGCAGACGAGCCGTATCCCACCTGATGGTGAGTGGTTACCGTCGCCCATGGACTTCAGCAATGCCGCCCATGGACTTCAGCAATGCCAAATTGGTTTAAACGACATTTCGCACAATACCCGTCATTTATCTTTGTAATTAAAGATCCGTTTTATTTGGTTTTAGCATCAACAATTCAATGTTTTTAATTGAACTTCAATTAAGTTTACCCCAATCAAATAGCCATTTACTGGTGGTAGGATCTCTTGTGAGTCCACACGGGTAGGTACCACCACTCTGCCTATTTTTGCCGTGAAGCAGTAATGCGTTTCGGTTTGAAGGGTGGGGTAGCCGTTGTAACTATACTGAGACCTTAGAGCTTATATCTCAAGATGGGTGGCGCATTTACGTTTTAGATGTCTATGGGTTTCAGTAACCACTTAACACCGGGTGGGCTATGAGTCCACCCATCTAAGCAATAAAAAAAAAGCTGAATAACTTTTTTGTTATGATATGTTTTCCAAATTTTTTACTTTAAATAGCCTGTAAAGTTGCAAAAATTTCGCTTGAACCCATAGTCTTTCACACCTCGATATTATATTAATTACACATATGTATTTGCTTTTGCTAAGCTCACTGCTCGTATAGTAAAATTTAAGCATGCTTATTTAGGTCCATTGAATTGAAATAACGAGCCACGGAAATTGCCAACAATTTAATTGTCTCTTCAGCAGTTTCGATACGCTCTAAGCCGAAAACAGTCCTATTTGGAACCGAGCCAATAACGGGCAATTTAGTATGGAGGCTGAATGATATCTTTAGACTGAATTCGTAATTAAACACTCTAATACGGTATTCATTCCTCCTGCAAATAAACTCTTTATTTCCAGTCAAATGATGAGCCAGTACACGTTTAAATTGGCACAGAAAGGCATCTCACAGTCTATACGGCGTTAAACCATAAACACAATTTTTGATCTCTTGATTAATAACAAGATCCACTATTATCATGAAATACGATTCTGTGGCGGTAGCCATCATAAAACGTAAGGTATTTGACAGATGCCTGAATTTCGCTTGTGGCATTTTCAAGATAAGCTTGTGAGTCCGAACGGGTAGGTACCACCACCACGCCTATTTCTTCCGTGAAGCAGTAATGCGTTTCGGTTTGAAGGATGGGGTAGTCGTTGTAACTATAGTAACCTTAGAACTTATATCTCAAGGCGGGTGGCGCATTTACGTTGTAGATGTCTATGGGCTCCAGTAACCACTTAACACCAGGTGGGCTGTGAGCTCGCCCACACTAATGCAATAAAAAAAAAAAAAATAAAAAACATTAAAAATCTGCTTTGGAATACACTCCTCAGCACGGTGTTGCCCTTGCACCAAAACATGTACTTCCTCAAACTAGATTCGGAAGGAGTCCTTGGCAGGAGTGGCTTGCTCGATCCATTAACGATACCTGGTGAACCCTTAGCTCGTCTTGTGGCAATGAATATAGCAAGCTGTGATGTTATTATACATAAGAGTAGATTGTTTTACTATCTCTCAGCGACTGCGATGACCCAGACCTGCAGCTGTATTCATAATGCGATCTTAACAGTTCTACCCTGGTGATATTTTGCGTCATATGCTTAATGATCCTCCAAACTTCTTGACGCTTTGAGAACTATTCAAACTAGAATAGCCATTACTCCAAAACAACATCCTGTTGCCAAAATTCATGTCATTAATGTCTATGGATTTTCATTTCAAGATAGTTCATCAAAATATCTACGAAATAATACTAAAAAAATATATCATAAAAAACTAACAGATATTATATAATTAGCTTAGAAACATATAATATAATGCAATCATCAAATATAACTAGTATATATATTTTACCTAAGATATTTTCAATTAAACATAATTAGTACCTAAAGATGCAATTCATATATCATTGCGTACATTATTTAATATTCAAATTTACACTTGTGTAGCTATATCGTTGTTCATTAAGAAAGGGTCTTTGACCTCACATGAATTCTTTTTCCTCGGTTTGGGGGGTGGTTTTGGAGCAGTCCTTCTGCCCAGAGTGCCGCTGACTGCATTCCCACTGTACGCTATCCTCAAATCCCTTGGACTCTTCAGAAGACTCTCGCTCTCCACCAAAGTCATCTTCAAAGGCCGGTTATCTGAATTCGCCATGGCTTGTAGATTAAGAAGCTGGTTGTGGATGTTCGGAGAGCTGATGCTGCTTCTTGGAATTGTTGCGTGGGGAGTTCCCGGCGCTGGAGACGGTGCAGGCTCGATTTCTTCTTCATTATAGTGGACTCTTGTCATCGGCCCTAAGTCCATCTCGCTCTTGTTCAAGCTGTAGTAATTTCCACCGTGGAAGAGTTTCATGTTGAAAGTGTCGTAATAAGGAATGACTCCATTCAAAGTTGAAAAGACTTGGGGTCTGGGGTTGCCTTCTGGAAACCTTGGCCTTCTTGGTAACGTCACGTAGCCTTTTGGGTTGAACGAGCCTTGAACATTTGGAGACTGAAATCTACTGTACAAATCACTTGAGTCTGCGTAAGTTGGAGATTTGATCGGGCTGCAAATAGTTTGCTTTGTCGTTCCAGTTGACGAGATTTGGGCTCTGAGTGGAAACGAAAGCAGATCAGGAGGATATGTTTGGTCTTGTGAATACCGGTCTGCTACTAAGGTTTCTTGGGAAATCTTCGGAAACTCTGCTTCTTGGTGCCGTCTGCTGTCTTCGGAGGTAGCTGAGAAGAAAAAGACATTGTTATTCACTATCAAAAATCATTTTCATCTTTAAAAACTACGATATTTTTGTTTTAGAAATTTAATGAAAACATTTTCGATTTCTTTATTAAGTGAACGAGCCTATGCTCCGCGTGGTATTCAGTGTTTACCCACTTTCAGACATAAAGCCACAGTCGCAACTGAATTGTGGAACGATTGTCCAATTCTTGAAACGCATGACTACTTTGCACCAGAAATAGGCAAGATGCGATACATTGCGCCCTCCCACAAATACGAGACGGAGATTGAAATACACTGGCATTATACTCAGATAATTCTGCTGTCCATACTCCGGTGGAACCTTTAGTCGTTAATAAATTCGTAAATTAATCTGTACGTCCAATCATTATAGCTCTCGCAGAGCGTATTTTGATTGATACAGAGCTGACACTAATATTTATTTGTATAGTGAAATGCTTATCGATGCTTGGAAGGCATACGTGACTAAGTGACAATAACTGCTTTGTACATAAATGATAGGCAATAATCATACGCTATGCGCAAAAAAAATTTTTTTCTAGTTCTATTAAAATCATTTCAATCCTACAGCTAGATTCGTTAAAATAGATTTTTTTCAGGTATTTCAAATTTAAATAAGTTTTTACTGGTGGTAGGACCTCTTGTGAGTCCGCACGGGTAGGTACCACCGCCCCGCCTATATCTGCCGTGAAGCAGTAATGCGTTTCGGTTTAAAAGGTGGGGCAGCCGTTGTAACTATACTGAGACCTTAGAACTTATATCTCAAGGTGTGTGGCGCATTTACGTTGTAGATGTCTATGGGTTCCAGTAACCACTTAACACCAGGTGGGCTGTGAGCTCGTCCACACATCTAGGCAAAAAAAAAAAAGTCTACTGTAAAGTTCACGCATTGTGGCTTAGTCACGTTTGCCTTTCAAGCGTGGTTATGTATTCCAATTTGAAGGGTAGAAAAGTACTGTGACCAGCGAGTCACTGTGAGTAGAATACGAAGTTGAATCGTGACGAAGCTAGAATATTCCTGAAACAGCTAAACAGGACTACGTGAATGTTCGTTTGCTATGATAAGCATAAGTTAGCGTTTATCGTATATCGCAAAACCGATACTTGGTACTCTCGTGGTCAATGACCGCATCTATTCACCCTCATATAGCAGCAATACTAGCCTGGAGCTTACGCTTCAGCTGGTTTTAATTGATGTACATTCGGTCATCTTAATCTCAGTGGTGTCAATTGTATTGCGTGTGAAGTATTGTGTTGTAGTAGGCAATTTTGCAATGTTTTCTTTGCCAGAGATCAATATATTGCCATTCTAAACTTTGGTCAAAATAAACTCCGCGCTCTAAGAGTGAAAACGTCACAAAGACACAAAGCTATTTTAGAATTAATAATATAATTTCATCATCTTTTTAGCGTGGTATGGACGTGTGATGCGTAGAGAGGAGATGCATGTATGGGAGATGTATGGAAATGGTAGTGCAAGGTAGAGGGGGAAGAGGTCGACCGAAGAAGTCATGGGTAGAGTGTTTGAATGATGACATGAGAGAAAGAGGAGTGAGTGTTGAGATAGCGGCTGATAGAGGAGAACGGAATAGAAAAATTCCTTGTGCCGACCCCACCTAGTGGGATAAGATGGAGACAAAGAAGAAGAAGATATTTTATTATAACTTGAGTAAAACGGAGTTCATATTATGTTCTAAATTAATCTCGGTCTACCTAAAAACTTCATGCAAATTTGTTCAGCAGTTCCTAAGTTATGCGAGAATAAACGAACAGACAAACAGAAAATTCACACTAAAACCAAAAAAATAACACAAAATAGAATAATCGCTTCTTTCTAATTCTATTACTCTTTAGTTTATGCTTTATGTTTACTGGTGGATGGGGTGGATAAGGAGATCCTAAAACCGGGCTCAGGAATTGGGAGAAGCCTATGCCCAGCAGTGGAAGACTGCGGGCAGATGATGATAATGACAATGATGATACAGATGCACCGATCTACTGTTTCATTATTATCACAAGCAAAGTTTGATCTTTATTCAATTTTGTTTCGGACTACTATGAAATTCAATTATTCTAATTAATAGATGTAAATCTCGATGAGAGCTTCAGCACAGCTTTCACTGAAAGTTGTTTGAAGTTTATTATCTTGTGAAATACAAGCGTGGCTGTGTGAAAACTTATAACAATGTACATTTTCTGCCTAGTCAATTCTTGGAGTGGGAGCAAATTTTACGTGGAAAATTTTTGAATTACCCCCGCTCAATATATTTTTCTCGAGCGCTACATATTTGCAGAGGAAAACACACAAAAGTAAATCTCTATTCCCGTTGGAGCCCTGAGATGTTCAATTTAGTCGGAAAAATTATGTTCATATCATAAAAGCTTACTCATTGTTTACGTTCTACGAAAATCTATTAATAATTTTGTTAAAAAAATATCTACGAGGAGAATTTATATTGTGAAAATGTCTGATCAAATTTGAAAATTAAACAATACTTGTAAACAAACTTAAAAAAGCCCATCTATAAAAATATCTCGGTTTTGCTCTCTTACAAGACTACATTCTCAGAACCCAAAAAATGAAAAGAGCTACAGATTTTGTAGAAAAAGTCATTAGTTTCCTTGTAAGGTCAGATATATTATTAGTCAGATATATTATATAATTATAAAAACAATAAGTTTCTCGATCACCAGTTAGTAATACATAATACTAAAAGACAAGAACCTTAAAGCTTCCGCAAGTGCTTATTGAAAATAGTTCTCTTCAGTCATAAGACTTTTCACATTGGCAACTATTAAAGCGCCCGTACCTAACTTTGTTATAACCGTAATAAAACCGTGTTTTTGTACACTTTTTTGTTAAGGGTATTCTCACAACATCAAACAATTTGATAAAGGTACTCTATAGGGCTACATCTGATTTTGTTTTGGCCTTTTCCTTCGCTTAAGTGAAAATTGTGTTTCGAAAACTACATTTATAAAAATAGTGGGTACTTTTATCTGATAATAATTCTTCTTTTAGCATCGCACCGCCCGCCACCAGAGTAGAGTTCATCCATACTATTTGGAGCGTATTTAATAGCAGACAGCAGACAGCAGTGGCGTTTATCCACAGTGCGTTTCCAGAGATCTTTTTTGCCACGTACCATCCGATTTTTTTTTTTTTTTTTTTTTTTTTTTTTTTTTTTTTTTTTTTTTTTTTTTTTTNGAGCGGTTCTATTGAACACAGGTGGCAATGCGGCGCGATTACTACAGGACAAAGAAAAAGCACAACAAAACAGAAATTACGAAAAGAAACAAAACAAATAAATACTTGCAGGAAACCACTTTGTCGGCAGATGTACCACGAACACAGAAACAACAAAAGGAAACAAAACAAATAAAAACTTCCAGAAAGAGCACTTAGTCGGCAGATGAACAATGGCCGGGCTAACAAAAGCCGGGCGAACAAAGACCGGGCGATCGAGTGGACGATGAGCACGTCCGCACGTGACGGGTGCCTCTATCGGAATGGCCATCCGACTTTAGAATAAGCTCCCCTTCAAGATGCTTAGCGAGCGCTATGACATGCTTTTCTTCGAACGAGACTTGTGGAGAGTACTTAATAGCAGACAACGGCTTGTCTCTGTCCCTGACTTTAGCTGATTTTACTGGTGGATGCACGGCATATAACATGCTGGACGTTTAATTAGATCATTAGCAACCCAGACAACCATGTTACTAAGCAATTTTATCCATTTCACACAAGAATAACATTGCTTAAAACACTTCGTCTTCTTCTTGCCCCAGTATGTGAGGTCAGTATAGCATATCCTCATTTCCATTCGGGCCTATCTTACCTCATCTCTGTACTCACATTGCCTTCTTTCACACAATCCATCTAATTATTTTAGTGTCCCTCACATTACCCAACCTAAATGTATTTAACCATTATTGTTCCTACGAAATAATTAATTACAATTTGTTTGTCATTTAACATTGTCACTGGAAGCCATCATAAATTCCACGACCGGTTTCAAGTACGATCACAATGCCGAGAAAAACAAAAATTCAACGGGCATGTTTTTTTTACCCTTTCGGATCCCTTTAGTTTTTTTTTTTTTTTTCAAATTAATAATTAGAATTAAATAAGAGATATATCGTGTTCACAATTATGATGTTTACCGAAAACGAAAGAAGGAGCCTTTCACTCTTAATTACTGGTGGTAGGACCTCTTGTGAGTCCGCGCGGGTAGGTACACCACCCTGCCTATTTCTGCCGTGAAGCAATAATGCGTTTCGCTGTGAAAGAAGAAGCCGTTGGACTCTAAAAACTGAGACCTTAGAACTCATGTCTCGAAGTGGGTGGCGACAGTTACGTTGTAGATGTCTATGGGCTCCAGTAATCACTTAACACCAGGTGGGCTGTGAGATCGCCCACCATTCTAAGCAAAAAAAAATTGTGTTGAGTATTTTTTTATATTACCCATTGGCCCACCTGATGGTGAGTGGTAACCGTTGCTCATGGAGGTCAACAATGCAAGAGGCAGAGCCAAGCCGCTGCCTACCGTTAAGTACCACCCACTAACTTAGCAGATTGATTCGCGTACGTCTTTAATATGTAAGTAGCAGAGTACATTTTCATCTAAATAAAACGGAATAAATTTTAATCGCCAGCGTTAGAACGTCCCTAAATAAATTCTGATGGGAAACGTTAAAGTTTTGTTCGCGAAATCCGAGATCAAAGGAAGACAAGAAAATAAAGGAATTTGTTTGAATTTACTTGCCGTTCTTGATTGCAAATCAAATTATATACAAGGGAAGTTTTCTTAACATGATTATAGGGTAAATATTAAAATCATGTCTATGGGCTCCAGCAACCACTTAACACCTGATGGGCTGTGAGCTCGTCCACCCATCTAAGCAATAAAAAAAAAACATGTTATACTAAATCAATTTCGTATTTTACTCGCTTACAATCACTACATAGTATAAAACAAAGTCGCTTTCTCTGTCCCTATATCCCTATGTATGCCTAAATCTTTAAAACTACGCAATGAATTTTGACGCGGTTTTATTTAATAGATAGAGTAATTAAAGAGAAAGATTTATATGTATAATAACATCCATTAAATAGTGGAGAAATCAATAATAAATTACAGTTTCCGAAGCGAAGCGAGGGCGGGTCGCTAGTAAGTAAATATAATTAAAAAAAATAAGAAAATAAAAAAACAAGAAAACATTCAAATGTTCATTTCTTAATTCTAGTTGTCTTGATCAATTAATAAAATACATAAAGTAATAAAACTATTGTATTTACTTCTTGATTTGACTGATCGGTGATTGTTAACAGTAGTTTTGATTATAATATATGTTAGTAGCGGATTCACCCGCCCGGTCAAGGAAAAGGAACAATTATATTTTCTTAAATGTGACGTAATTTTTCTAAGCACTTAGGTAATATTAATTATTAATTATTAATACCATTTCCAGTGGGACTTAGAAGTTTTCGGAATAAAAAGTAGTATGTGTCACTCTTCTGATTTAAAACTGTCACTTTAGAAAAAAATGACAATGCGTTGGTTAATTTCGACGCGAATAAAAGACAAACAAATAGACACACTTTCACATTCATAATGTTATTATGGAGGTATGGATTGAATGAATTGGGAGTTGTGGTCTTTACAGTAATGCAACACAAATATTGAAACAAAACGCGACATTAATCTATATCTATCTATATATTAATACGTGAAGCAAAAACTTTGTATTCCTTTTTACGAAAATTGCGCGGACGGAGGAGTATGAAATTTTCCACACTTATAGAGAATATAGAGAAGAAGTGCACAATGCTATTTTTTTTTTTAAATAATGCATAAAAGATACATTAAATCAATAAAGAAAACATTACACACACTACATACCATGTATTTGACGCACACACGCATCCATACTATTTATTGTCAACTTTTGTTCTTGGGGTCTGTTGTCAAATTGAGAATAGATTAAATATTGTTTGTTAATATTTTTTATAGTGTAGTCTTGGCGAAATTTGTCATTATAGTATAAGTATAAAATACAATCATAATAGTGTAAAAACTTACAATTCCAATTAATTATAGTAGAATTTCGCCTACAGCGGGACCACTAGTATAGGTATATATAAAAATGAATTGCTATTCGTTAGTCTCGCTAAAACTCGAGAACGGCTGGACCGATTTGGCTAATTTTGGTCTTGAATTATTTGCGGAAGTCCAGAGAAGGCTTAAAAAGTAGATTAATTTGAAAATGCTTGACTTTATAGCATGCTTTCAGAGGGCAAACATTTTGGAGATGGTGGACTGACATTACTCGTATGTAGTAATTCAGACGATACTACGCGTCAAGCCATACTGACATATAAATGCTTACTGTTACATGTTTATCTGTTCTTTATCACACATTCTTGCTAAGATATACCTATTATTAGCCATGAATACTGGTTAACATTAAAATACTAATGTTTTTCTTTGCTGCTTATAAACAAATAATCTTTCACACAATTTTTTGTTTGCAATATATCACAAGAGCTATGAAAAATACGTTAATAAAATCAATCTTGAATAACTTCACTAAAGTTTATATTAGCAAATATATTTTTTAACTCACTGTAGATTGCGATGCTAAATTAGTTTTATTGTTGCTCGACTACATAGAAAACAGAGTAAAGTCTAATAGGAATAGGCAAGGTAAATAAATAAATAAGTAACTGGGAATCAATCACGCATGGTTATTCGGCCCGACTTTAGAATTCCGTGTGTTATGGGTACCTACTAGACACTGATAATCATACTTTTATATATTTAAATTAATGTTTTGCTTTGCTGCTTATAAACAAATAATCTTTCACATAAATTTTCACACACGTTTCTAAAATACTATCTCAAATACAATACTAGTCGAAAGGTTGTTCTGACAGTAACAGTTCTTCTTCTGTCATGAAGGAGTTAACAAGTTTGTGTGAACGGCGGCGTTACGAGATCTAATTCTTCATCTACTAATCAAGATAGCATTTAATACTAAAATTACGTTTGCAATTAATTTTCCCGCCTCCCATTGTGAGAACAAGCAAGATGCCACTTTAGTATTCCAACAGTTCTTATCTATATCAAACAAACATTTCTCCTAAAAGCAAATTTGAAAACTCCACCAGTATTTTTGTATCCTGATTTACCTCGACCTTTAACCTGTTTATATGAAAATAATATAAACATTAAGAGTATGTGATAAGAATTAATTAAAAGTATTTAAAGGTCCTTACGTAAACAAACGAACAAAAAGTATAATTAATTGATATTATCTGAAACTCACCCAAAGCTGTTTCATTATCCAGTAATGTTTTATTCAATTCGGACATCTCTGTGGCTTCGTTTGTCAACGAGGGTGTTACATCGTATTTTCTAGGCGGTTTTGTCACGGGGTTTACATCCATTTTTATCCCCTTCTCGTTATCCGAATTCACCGACCCTTCAATTAAAACTTCCCCATTGGACGATCTTGGGTCGTTCTTTATCAGTCTTTTGATTTCATTATTCTGCGTCGTGAAGTAGCACACTACAAGCGTCACTCCAAATATTATTACTATGGCCGTCAAACAGCCAATTATAATTGCAAATGAATCCGTGTCCAGGCCAGCTATTAAGCCAGATCCTCCGTATTTCGTTAAAACTAATCCTAATGTCTTTTCGTCACGTCCCCCTGGATTTTCGGCAACGCAACTATAATTCCCTCGGTCGCTGTATCGCGCATTAATAATTGTCAAATTAACCCATTTGATCAGATCCATAATGTTTTCGTTAACCGCATATCTCAATTCGCCGAATGTTTTCATTTCAATAACTCGTCCATTAAACCTCCACGAGACATCAGGTGGTGGATTACCGACAACTTTACAAGTCAAAGTCACGTTTTCATCGTAACTTCTGACCGTCGAGTCTGGTAACGGTTCGAGAATAGTCGGGCGGCACGCGAAATTCGACGAATCTAATTCATTCCAAAGTTTGCCTTGGACGGAGACCGGCTCCGCGCAGGATGTAGGCGCCGTGTACAAATTGTGACTGATCACCCAGTCCCTAAAAGTCTGGAGATTGCAATCGCATCGCCACGGATTGTTATGCAAGTCTAAGCCAGATAGATTCTTCAGTGCTATTAAAGTTTCGAGCTTCATGTGGCTTAGATTGTTGCCGTCGAACCTCAGAATCTTTAATTGAGGTAAGTTGACGAATGCCTTTGTGCCGATTCGAACTATCCTGTTATTGCTGGCTTCGACTTTCTGCAGGAACTTCATGTTGCGAAACAGACCGTCTTCCAACTTATCGATTAAGTTGTTGCTTAAGTTTATCAATCTCAGTTTCTCGGTCCCTTTGAAAGTGTCCGGATGGAGGTATCGAATTTTATTCTTCGACAGATCCAACTCTATCATGATTGCCAGGGTGACGAACGTGGTTTTGTGGACAATCTCCAAGTTACACTCCCGCAGGAATAGTTTTTTCAAGTTGCTGAGACCAGCTTTCTTGAAAGCTTCCGAATGTAATTGTTGTATGTTGTTGTTAGAAAGTTCTAGTATTTGTATGTCGTTGCTGAGATTCGTAGGCACGACTTTAAGGCTTGAATTTGAGCAAATGGCTGCTTTGTTTCCGGACTGCCACCTGCAGTCGCATGGCCTCTGGCATTCCGTGGTGAAATCAGCAGTGGTCGTAATAATGAAGAGGGGTATGAAAACGATTTTCAACCATGCCTCCCAATGTTTATTAGCCATTTTGCTATGATGTTAGTCATCGCCGCGTGCCGTTGCATAACTGCCAAATCTCCTCACTCATGGAGCAGAAGATCTGAAACAGAAGAGAGAACATTAAACTTATTAGATTTTTCTATTTAAAGAGCCTTTTTGTGACTATTCCATTAGATTAGCTGTTTGTTAAATATTATTAATGTAGTAGTTCGTATTCTAATGCAACAGAAATTTTTAAATGCTACGTCTTAATTCCGGCATTCAGATAGTATTCACGGATTTTGCCAATAGTACAAATTGCAAGGCACAAATTGCTTTGACTTCAAAGGAAAATGATTAATGCGATAAACTACAAGATCTTTACTGAATCTAGGCCCAAGTGTAAAGTACAAGGGAACAAGACGCTAACCAAGTTATCACTTTAGGCTGTGGTGCTTTGAACAAGTTAAATTGCTTTGGGTACAAATTTGTACTTTTTGAGCTCACTGATGGTGTCCCTTCAAAGGACCGCTCCTACATTAGCTTATTCGATTTCAAGATTTAAAGCGAAGTTTGAAAGTTTAGTTTTTTTATTTAAAAAAAACTTTTTTAATTTGAATGTCTTTTTATTATGTCACCTCGCATGAGGTCTAAATGTGTAAGTGTTCTAATCTATTCTAATATATTCCGTATTAATATGATATTTTTTTTACTGCTTAAATTGTTGAACGAGCTCACGGCCCGCCTGGTGTTAAGTGGTTACTGGAGCCCATAGGCAACTACGAAGTAAATGCGCCACCCACCTTGAGATATAAGTTCTAAGGTCTCAATATAGTTACAACGGCTGCCCTACCCTTCAAACCGAAACGCATTACTGCTTCACGGCAGAAATAGGCAGGTGGTACGCGCGAACTCACAAGAGGTCCTACCACCAGTAGAAAATTTAGAAACATGCTTTCGGTCTTTGAACACTAACATTGTTGCATCCCTGAATATACCGAGTGTATACCGGGCGTCTTATCCTTTAGGCCATCGTTGCTTTAGCTTGACTCAAATCAAATAAATATCAAAACAATAACCGGTAAAAATCAACTACCCGAAATAAAAACCGATTTTACACTCGACTGAAAGGTTTCGCAACAAATCGATGAGATTCCTATCCTATTTACTTCCGGATGGGAAATGAATCGTCGTTTCTCGCGTTTTCCCTCGACCGTCGCCGGAATGACAAATCAGGCGGCCGGTTTTGATAAAGGACACGCGTTTGCGACGTCGTGGCCGTATCTCATGTGGACTTTATAGTACGACATAATTTTGTGTGACCACACTTGTTTCAGCGCGACTACAGTCCTAGCTCTATTTCGGTCATACAGATGCGTTACCGTACCTCAATGATTGTGGCTTCACTAGATAGTCTAACCAGTCCCCGGGGACCAGATTATACTGGAGGTAGGACCTCCTATGAGTCCGCACGGTTAGGTACCACCACTCTGCCTATTTCTGCCGTGATGCAGTAATGTGTTTCAGTTTGAAGGGTGGGGCAGTTGTAGTTGTAAATATACTTAGAACTGATATCTCAAGGTGGGTGGGGCATTTACGTTGTAGATGTCTATGGGCTCTAGTAACCACTTAACAGGTGGGCTGTAAGCTCATCCACACATATAGGCGATAAAAAAAAAGATGAATCGCCTCGACAATCGGCAGGTTTGCCTAAGGATGGCGCAGTTACCCTCTTGGAGGGCACACTGCTCTAACGATAGATAGAGCCTGACGCGGCAGACTATGCCAATAGTCAGAATACGTTCGAGAAACATGTAAAAAAAATTTCTTCTTTTTTCCAAAATCATAAATCAAATATTTTTATATTCTGGTCACCCTATTCAGCCATTATGGGCCCTCTGCGAGCTCAGGGAGTCCCCTGTGAGAACAATAATGTCTTGTTTCATACGCATTGCGATTTCTAATGAAATATAGCACTGTTTTACTTGTTTTATCGTTTTTTTTTCTCTCCAGAAATAGCAATATATCACAAGAGCTGTGAAAAAGACGTTAATAAAATCAATCTTGAAAAACTTCAGTAAAGTTTATATTAGCAAATATTTTATTTTAACCCACTGTAGATTGCGACGCTAAATGAGTTTTATTGTTGCTCGATTACATAGAAAACAAAGCTAAGTCTAATAGGAATAGGCAAGGTAAATAAATAAATAAATAAGTAACTGGAAACAAATCACGCATGGTTATTCGGCCCCACTTTAGGATTCCGTGTGTTATGGGTACTAGACACTGATAATAATACTTATATAATATATTTTAATATATATGTACATATGTAGATAATAAACGCCCAGACAAAGAGCAAACATATTTATTTATAACACAATGTTTTCCCGATGTGGGAACCGAACCCACGTCCCTCTGCGCGACAGTCAGCGCCCCTAACCACTGCACCACCGAGTCATTCAAAGGGTAGAGGAGCCTACCAGTGCGAGTTCACAGTAGGGGAGATAATCCTTTGCAGACGCTTCATTTTATCACCGGGAGAAGGAAGAGCAATGTCAGAATATGCTATGAGGCATTCCGTATCACATAACCTAAAGTAACTTCCGTAGTATGCGGTAGATGTGGGTCACGTTTTATGTAGTATTATATACAACTAGTGGTCCCTCTGTAGTCGAAATTCGACTTCTATTCTATTGTCAAAGACTATTATACTTCTATAATCACAGATTTCACCGAAACTACACTATAGACAAATATTAATAAAGATTATTTTTTTCTCTATATTTATCTGCAATCGGCTCTATAGCCATAATCAGATGTGTTCCAAGAAGTTCGAGTTGTGGATGACATTACATTAAATGTCATCAATTACAGCAGTAGATTTAGTATCTTTGGTCTAAGTCTAAAATTTGCCATATTTTTAAACGTTTCGCATCTCCAGTTGTGTCTAGCAGGCACCTTGCCAATTCATTTGAGTGCTGAACTAGTCTTTCCTTATATCTCTTGCTGTTCTTGTTGACTTCCTCTCGAACAGTCGACATTTCTAAGTATTCGTGAATCTCACTATTTCTTACAAACCAATGCGCGTTTGAGATAGTTCTAAGAGCAATGTTCTGGAATCTCTGTAAGATCTCGATATTCGAGTTGCATTAATAATAAAGATAAACAATATTAATCTATTCTCATTTTGACCACAGACTTGAATGCAATGACAAAAGTTTTTTTACTGGGTATTTATATATGCGTGTGTGTCAAATACGTGGTAGTGTGTGTAATGTTTTTTTTTATTTGAATTAATGTATTATAAATGCATATTTTTTAAATAATATTAGCATTCTGCACTCCTTCTCTATATTTTCTATAAGTGTGGGAAATTTCATACTCCTCCGTCCGCGCAATTTGCGTAAAAAGGGGTACAAAGTTTTTGCTTCACGTATTAATATATAGATACTGGTCAGGATGACGGGAGAAGGTCACGCGGACGCTGAACAACCCGCTGGTCTGATCTGGTAAAGACGCTCACCGGCCTGCCAATAATAGAGGCTATAAAAACCACCGAGGACAGGAAGAGGTGGAGAAGCATAGTACATCGAGTGGTCAACATTTCAAACTAGACACGACCTTCAGCAATGAAGAGACCGGCTTTGAAGAAGATTTACAATACCACTGAGTCTTCGATCTCACGCTCCTAATGGTTCACGGCATACAAGAACAACAAAAAGCATTTATTATATTCGTATTGCATATGACAGTGAGGTACTGTCTACATAAAAATGACACACAGGCGACCTTAGGCTAAAATCTTCTCATAAACAACCCTTATTGAAAAACTTTCGCATGAACTTCGAATGAAAGGAATACTTTTATGTAGCGATGAATCAAAAACAAAACAGTGATGTTGTGAGGAGGACAAGTAATATGAAATAAATGAGATTTGTAAATATATCTGTCCTGTACTGCTGATTTAAAAAATAATATTAAGTTTCCGTTTTTTACTGATGGTAGAACGTCTTGTGAGTCCGCATGGGATAGGTACTACTACCCTGCGTATTTCTGCCGTGAACCAGTAACGCGTTTGGGTCTGAAGGGTAGGGCAGCCGTTGTACTGCTAAAAGTGAGACCTTACAACTCATGTCTTGAGGCGGCGGCATTTACGTTGTAGCCACTTAACATCAAGTGCAGCAATAAAAAAAATAAAAAACAGAACCTATCATTTTAATTTTAAAATGAGGATAATTTACTATATTGTTTCACGCCAATATTTGTTAAGAACTTTTGTATGACATATTTAAATGGAGTGGGGTGATAAAGAGAACCGAATTTCTGTTAGCATTATATTATTATGTACAAAGCATGTATGGCATCTAATGCAATTAACGAATAATTAAAGTCACTTTATATCAACACAGTGCGTTTCCAGAGATCTTTTTTGCCACGTACCATCCGGCTATGGAATGAGCTCCCCTCCACGGTGTTTCCCGAGCGCTATGACATGTCCTTCTTCAAACGAGGCCTGTGGAGAGTATTAAGCGGTAGGCAGCGGCTTGACTCTGCCCCTGGCATTGCTGAAGTCCATGGGCGACGGTAACCACTCACCATCAGGTGGGCCGTATGCTCGTCTGCCTACAAGGGCAATAAAAAAAATCGCATAATTGCATTTTCAGTTATTGATGTAGGGCATCCCTAAAAGATTTATTATCGTTATGTCAGCATTGTCGTTCAGCATGCTACTACAGATCAAATTAATGACTACATCAAAAAGTTAGCAACGAGGAAATTATACGACCGTTAAATATTTATTAGCATTGTTGCTTTGTTGCTTCGCGAATTACAGCTTATAATAAACATTATTATTTAACTGGTTGCAACGATTTACATTTTAAAGGCTTTCGAATTTCTAAGCGCTATGAACACGGATAGTCTAAAGACTGCGGTCGGGATGTTAAAAGCAGACAAATATATCTACCATCTTTCTAACCCGTGCTTAAGTGTTACGACCGAAATTCGATGTCTCGCCCCGACAAAAATAAAAGCTGTTGCTACTGTAGACGATACTGTAGATTTTGAAAACCTTTTGGCCTGAGACGATCACTAACAAAGAACTGTTGAGGATCACCA